CACACACACACACACACACACACACACACACACACACACACACACACACACACACACACACCTTTCAGCTCTCGGGGAGTTGTCTGTCCGGTTTTGCGTACGCACGCACCTAAAAGGCCTCTCGCAACACTCGCAACTGGCACGCTCCGCACATGCTCCCTGAGTCACATGATCCGGTTCGCAGACACGCTTCAGGAGGTCAAAAGTCACACGGCGAGTTAGCTGTGGTGAGATATGAGCAGAAAGTTTATGATGTGGTGATAAATGTGTGGCTTTAGATAAACCAGTTGCATTTTATTGAGAAAAAAACAAGTTCTTCGGTCAGATTAAATACAAGATAAAACACTGTTTCATTAAAGGGGGGTGTTAAGTATTTTCCTAGCATGTAGTTCAATTCTATACTACATTCAAGTATGTTACCTTCAGTTGTTGTGAAAATGCATGTATCCAAAATAAATTTGACTTTGCGTCATATCCTATCTAAGCACCTTGAAATTGGCCTTGGTCTCTTTAAGAACCTCCTACTATTTTTGACACTCCCACTTCTGCACATGTTTAAAACAATGCTTTGGGGGAGGGGTGGTCTACACAAATAGGCGGTACTTTGTACCAGCAAATGTTTAGGCAGCTCCACATTGCTACCACTGGAGATTCAAGTATTTCTTAAACATGCATGAATGAAAAGCAACTTTTTGATGATAAAAATGATGTTATAATAATGATATATCAATATGGAATTAGGATATCAGTAAAAACTGAGCTGAACTATAAATCTCAAAATTGTCGATTTTGCATAAAATCCCCCGTTTAAATGGGACAGATTTCCAACTTTTTGAATCCATGAGACAAGTTTGGTTTGCTCCGGTGTGAAAGAGTTCATGGAAACAGACACCTGCTGAAGAGTCCGTCATGATGAGACACGCGCCTGTCTGTACAGGTGAGCAGCTGCAGCAGGTGATACACACATCGACTCGCTGTCTCACACAAAGGAGGCACAAGTGTTGTCCATCAATCATCACCCTTTATGTGRGAAACTGTAAAAGCCAACAACTTAGAATTTTTTTGCAAGTTTTCCTGTCTAAATCACAATTTGAARGATATTTTTATAAGGGAAGAATAATTTATGGCACGATCAAACATGTTTTCTGACACCGTGCGCAGAGACCAGACAACAAGTAAAACCGAGAGGCTTGGAGCTTCGTGCATTCCAACCACACGTTTAAAATCTCAGGATACGTCTGCGAACAAAGCCAACGATTCAGCGGTGGGCTCGCTCCGCACCTCAGCCCCGTCCCACTCTGCTCTCTGCCAAGCCTCAGATCCACCAGCAGCTCAGAGCGCCACACAATGGGGCTTTTGTACGAGCCGAGTTAACACCGTAATTGTTACAATCTTCCCATTCAGGTGAACGGCACTCCCACTTCTCACTCCCACTGAAATTTTCGGAGGCTTGCTGTTTTCACTGATGTTGATGGAGAACTGTGGGTGGCTCGCTTACCTCAAGCCTTTTCAAAGGATAGTTCAGACCTTTTTCAGTGGGTTTCTGTAAAAAACAAGTTATGAACAATTAATATCTTACCTGTTGTAGATGATTAGAGTTTAACACTTATCAGGTTAACTAGGCTGGTCGGAGAAACTAGTTAACAAGGCTTGTCCAGGACAAAATTGGAACTCACTTATAATCTGAATACAGATTAAGCTCCAGAATTTTTGTAGTG